ACTGTTCCTGAGGGTTTTATCTGTCCTGGATTCCCTGTGTCGAGAGCTCTTATCTGTACCAGTGTGTGTTCTCCGGTCTAGCCGGATTTGTAAGGTAGAACTGGGACATGGTAATGGTGGGGAGGACGCATTCAGGAATTAGAGAAATGATGTGTGCACTCTGGGTGAATCGTCCCTTCCTTGTAGCCCTTCTGTGGGGGGATGTCCAATTGTCTACAGATGGGCTTTGGATCTCCACTCCAAGCCCAGTCTTTCACATCAATATCATTGTTTGTTTGGGATCTTTTGATGCCTGATACCTGACACCTCGTGATCACACAGGCTGGTGAGCTTCTTCCATTTGGACTTATTTGCTTCCCTGCTAGATTGCTGCTTGTTTAACCGCAAGCCTTTAATCTTTTGATAACCAGGCACTTTTGATAGCTTTCTTCACCACATTTCCTTTTTTTCCCTGCCTTTCTCCTCCCACCTTCCCCTTCTCACCACATTTACTTATGCACCCATTTTGTCCTAAGTGATCGTGTCAGGAAGGTGAGTATCACAGAGTGCCAGGTTATTAGAACAAAGTGTTCTTGTGTTAAGGGAGGCCTTGAGTAGAGGTTCAAAGTCGGTCTGCTATTTTAATACTTAGCATATAGATATATGTACATTGGCCTCTATCCCTTTCATTATAAATTAGTATATTTAAATATATACATGCCTATAGCTATACCTCTATAAATAGCTTTTGTCTCCTATTTCTTTCCTCTATTTCCATCATGCACACCCTCCATTAGGCTCTCAGTGATTCCTCTTGGATACATTACCCTTGATCTGACCTCACCAGGCATTATACGCCCTCCTCGCCATCAATTTGAGATCTCTTGTTGTTCCCTGGTCCCTGGGTTTGTTGGATGCCCCCTCCCCCTCCTGCCCCTCCTCTCCCATGTCTTCCCGGAACCGCAGGTCCGACTGTTTTCTCCTCGGGATTGTTCGTCCTGCCTCTCATATATAGATAGACATCGTCTCAAAGGATAGTTTACACGACTTATTCTAATCCAGCATTTGAGTTTTCTATTTCAGAATGATTCCCTTGGTTTTCTTCTCTAGCTATCATCGTTTTCCTGCTCTTGCTCTCTCTCTTTGAACCCCATTTTCACCTGCTTGCATTCTTTTTCTTAGTTCTATCCCTTCATGCTCCTCATGGATTTTCTGCAGCCTGCCCTGGGCTTCTCCTCATGTTAGCTTCCTTTCTGCGATGTTTTTGTTTTCCCTTCTCCTTCTTTTCTGTGTTCTGCTGGCTCACATTTCCTCGTCTGGGTCCTGCGTTTCAGGGAGTATATTTTTGCTGGCACTCTGCAATCCGCCCACAGGGAGCAGTGCTTCTGCAGCCTGCCTCTCCGCTCCCTTCCCCCCAGGTGGCTTCGGCTGCACTTCACTTTGGGGCTTCTCTGGTGATCACAGTTGCTCTTGGCAGTCCTTGTGTGTATTTTGAGCCTGCAGATTATATCTGTCTCCTTGTTTTGCTGAAAGCAGGGTCATTTTCCTTCTCCTTACTGCTTCTGTACACCACCCAGGAGGAGAAAAGGAAGATTACCTATGTGTATCCCCACACTCATACATACCTGAAAACCCCAATCACAGATCTCTGCTTAACTTATCATTCGAACCCTTCCTTGGTGCCA